CCCCAAAACCCCAAAACCCCAAAACCCCAAAACCCCAAAACCCCAGGTTTAAGAGCGCATTTTGAATAAGTTTATAACTATAAAATATCAAATTTAGAAATGGACTATTCAGACACTCCACAAGAAGAATCCACTCATAGTTATGACTATGATCTCTTTGTAATCGGAGGTGGTTCTGGAGGGCTTGCTTGTGCCAAGGCTGCTCAAGAAGCAGGAGCTAAAGTAGCAGTAGCTGATTTTGTAAAGCCAACTCCAAAGGGAACAAAGTGGAAAGTAGGAGGAACATGAGTGAATGTTGGTTGAATCCCCAAAAAGCTGATGCACTACTCCGCATTGTTAGGAAATTCTTATCACGACCAAGTTGAGAGCGGATGGGAGCATGAGAAACCTTCTCATGACTGGGGTAAAATGATTACCAATGTCAATAACCATATAAGAGGTATCAATTTTGGATACAAAGCAGATATGAGAAAGAGAGGTATAAAGTTTCATGAAAAGTTTGCATCCTTTGTCGATCCTCATACCGTACAACTAGTTGATAAGAAGGGCAAGACCGAAATGATTACTTCTAATTATTTCGTAATTGCTACTGGAGGCAGACCTCTCTATCCTGATATTCCTGGAGCCAAAGAGCATGCAATTACTAGTGATGATATTTTCTGGATGAAAGACAACCCTGGTAAAACCCTTGTGGTAGGTGCTTCCTATGTCGCGTTGGAATGAGCTGGATTTTTACATCATTTTGGAAACGAAGTTTCAGTTTGTGTCCGATCAATCTTTTTGAGAGGTTTCGATCAAGATATGGCGCAAAAGATTGCTAAAGACATGGAACTCAGCGGGATTAATTTCATTAGAGACTCTGTGCCTACCAAAATTGAGAAAGACGAAGAGACTGGCAAGCTCACCTGATTTTTAACAGTAGGAGGCGAAGAAACTACCGTCGAAGTAGATACTGTTCTTTTTGCAATTGGTAGATATGCTGTGACAGCTGATTTAAATCTAGATAATGCTGGACTCATTGCTGAAAAGAATGGAAAATTCATTACTGACAAATACCAGAAAACTAATGTTGACAATATCTATGCTATAGGGGATGTGCTTCATGGAAAATTGGAACTTACTCCAACTGCAATTCAAGCGGGAAGACTATTGGCTGATAGACTATTTGCTGGAGGAACTACTACAATGGATTTTTATGATGTTCCTACTACTATCTTTACTCCTCTCGAGTATGGATGAGTAGGTTATTCAGAGGAAGATGCTAGGGAGGAATATGGTGACTTCATCAAAGTTTACCATACTTATTTCCAGCCATTAGAATGGAACTTTGCAAAATCAATCTATAAGGAGAGGAATTGATACGTAAAAATTATAGTAAACACTGCAGATAATGACAGAGTGATCGGGTTCCATATTCTCTGTCCTAATGCTGGGGAGATAACACAAGGAATTGCTATTGCCATCAAAGTAGGAGTCACAAAGCCTCAGTTAGATAACTGTGTTGGAATTCATCCTACAATTGCTGAAGAAATGACTAATCTACATATTGATAAAGCTGATAATCCAGATCCAATTAAATCGGATTGCTGATCTTAAAGAGTCTGTGCATATTAGGAGTTGCTAAAATTTAGTCAACTACTAATAACTGCATGGGAAAAATATAGTCGGTAAAGGAGACAAATCAGTAAGCAATGTTTCCAGACAATATGCTTGGTCTTTAGAAGCATTAGCTTTAATGATACTCTCTTTCTTCAAATACATAAGAAAGCGAGTTGAACAGCTGAGGACTCTCTGAGTAGTAATACATCGTTCGCCTAAAATTTTAAATTTATACCTTTTTACGGTTTTTTGGAGATTCAAAAATGTTAAAATAAAAAGGGGTTTTGGGGTTTTGGGGTTTTGGGGTTTTGGGGTTTTGGGG